GAGAGAGAGAAAATAAGAAAGAAAATCGTCTAACCGCGGAAATGACACGCTGAGCGGAGACCGATCGTCTGACGGCGGTAACGCTTTTTCCGCAAGTCGAGCGGCTTGGAAGATTTGAAAGTCATGTGTGTTTATTAAAGTAAAATCTGCAAAGTGGCGGTGATTATATCCCACCTCGCTTTATACAAGTGCTCGTTTGCGGTTCGATTGATGCTATTTTTTTTTGCTTTTTTTGCGGGGACATCAGTCACGAGTGAATGAATGCAAGTTGCGCCGCGGTTCGTCGGCCAGATATGATTGACAGGCGATTAGACATTTACATAATTATATATATATATCCGATTAATAATTGCCCCGAGAGTCGCCACGTCATTACGCGAGAATGTACAGCGCGCTTTTTTCTCTTCTTTTTTCCACCGCTTTCGTCAAGACATTCGTCACATTGTGCCTCGTTAAAGTTGTTTCGATCAATTGCAAGTTAATTGCAAGTATGTTGCGCGCGGATACGAGTACGCAGGAAGGAAAAAGGAAGGATAATCCGCAGCGGAACCGCGATGTAACGTCAAGTGCGCTTTTACCAGGAATGTCATAATATTCGAATCGGCGCGGGAGGTTGCGCTCGAAGCAGCGAAACGAAATTCCGCGGCAAAGCAAGACACGCTGTCAAATGTCAAAAATATGTTTAGATAAACACACGCGCGGGCAAAAAGGACGAAACCGTTGATCTCGGCTTTTTTTCCGAGTCACACGTACGCGGCTTTTCGCACGCGGTTAGGAAGCATGTATTTCATCGGTGATATGTTCGCCGTAATTCTCATTAAAATATATAAAAGTAATAACATACAAACGCACACGCGCGCAGGGAGAAAGAGAGAGTGGTACGTGTTAATGTGCTAATTTCACGCGCAGCTGCGTCGCGCGCGTGTTTGGTGCGTCGGTAAAAAATTCACGGCAGGGCGGAAATTTATTTCAGAGAAATATACGAGTCCGCCGAAATATAATTTAGTTTTTCCGCACGCCCGCGGCGAGACTTTCGTTCGCAGAGAGAGCAAAGAGTGGCGCGGCGCCTCGTCCCTCGGATGTCCTCGATCAGGCGGGAAGGGACATTCTTTGGTCGGACTGTTACACGACAGGGCGTGCTCGACTCCGAGGTAATCGCACGTCTCCGTGCGGTGGTCTGTGAAAAAAGAAAAAAACGCGTTCCACCGGTGGCGAACGAAGCACCGATTACGACACACGGATTTTCCCGTCGTCGAAGCCGTCTTCGGTGGTAGGAGAATGCATCCGGGGGAGAAAGTCCGCGGTGCAGCAGGTCGACTGTGGTCCAACTACTGGGCGTGACAGTATATCCCTGCTGCAGGTGCAGCCGAACGTATAGGTAGGACCGTGAAAGCGCCTCAGGGTAGAGGGGAACGCGATCCTCGCCGCCCACGCGCGATCGGCCTGCTCGTTCGCCGGGAAAGACAGGAGCCGAGTCGGTGGTGCGTGGAATAAAGAGAGAGACCGAAAGACACCGGGCGGGCGAGCGAGCGAGCGAGCGAGCGAGAGACAGACACAGAGAAAGAGAGAGAGAGAGGGGGGGGGAAGAGAGAGAAAAGAGACCGAAAGAGAGAGGGGGGTGGGGGAGGAAGAGGGAAACGGAAAGAAAGAGCGAGAGAGAGAGAGAGAGAGAGAGAGAGAGAGAGAGAAAGAGAGAGAGAGAGAGAAAGAGAAAGAGACAGAGAGGCATAGGAAGGTGGAAGAGAAAGGTCGGGGAGGAGAGGAGACTAGATCCGAGGAGATCGAGGAGAGCGTGCAGGCTCCGTCGCTGGCTGACGCGGTCGCGCACACCTGTGCCAACGTAGCATGGCACGGCGTCGCATAACAGGTGGAAAGGTAACGGAGGAAGAGAGAGAGAGAGAGAGAGAGAGAGGAATCGCGGGAGGAGAGGACGCGAGAGAGAGAGAGGGGGGGGACGGAGGGAGAGGGAGACCCCCACTCGACCCCGAGTCTGCCAACTCGAACATTACTATACGCCCTCCGCGACCCAAGAGGAGGAGAGCATCGAGACTACCGCCTTCCTCCTACGTTCTCTCGTCTCGTCTCGTCTCTCTCTCTCTCTCTCTCTCTCTCTCTCTCTCTCTCTCTCTCTCTCTCTCTCTCTCTCTCTCTCTCGTCTCTCTCTCTCGTCTCTCTCTCTCGTCTCTCTCTCTCCTCTCTCTCTCTCTCTCTCTCTCTCTCTCCCTCTCTCTCTCTCCCTCTCTGTCTGTCTCTCTGTTTCTCCTGTCGCCTTTTTACTCCACCTACCTCTTTCTCTCGCTCTCACTCTCGCTCTATCTATCAACCTCGCATGCCTGCTCCTAAGCTCTCTTCCCTCTCTCTCCCCGCGCCGCACCCCGCTTTCTCTGCTCCTCTTCTTTCCTCCCCCTCTCGCCTCCGTCCTCTCCTCTCCCTCGACGCCCCCGATCTGCCTGTTTTGCGACGCCTCCGTTGCACTTCCGCTTTAACGTCGGCTAACTCGGAGGCCCTCGCCGCGCAAACGCCGCCGACAAACGCGTTTTCGCTCCGCGCCGATGAAATGGCGGACGAGAGAGTGTTCTCCACCCTCGAGGACTTCGGCGAGGCGTCCCGGGGTGGGCCTCCGTGAACCGGCCGGCTGCCTCGACGCGCTCGACAATGTGATCGATGTGTTTTCATGATCGGGCCGATGATTGAAACGTCGCAACGTCGGGACGCAGCTGCGTTACACGTCGCCGCGGACCGACATTTTCCTCACTTTCCCTGCCCCTCCCTCGTTTCTCGAGACATTACCGGCGTTATCGCCGGTAGTTAGGCGCCCCTCCGACCGCGAGTCTCAATTATTGGCGCAATTGCGGATGATCGTAACGACTCTCGGTTCCTTCCGCTTTTCTCTCTTTCTCTCCTCTTTCTTCCCTCGCCCTCTTCACTCGCAGATTTAATCCTTCAACGATACCCCCAACGCTCTCTCGCTCTCTCTCTCGCTCTCTCTCTCTCTCTCTCTCTCTCTCTCTCTCTCTCTCTCTCTCTCTCCCCCCTCTCTCCCTCTTGCAGGAATACCTCTCGTGCTTTCGTGTTGCTTAGAGATTCCCGACAGAGCCGAGGAGGCGAGATACGCCACAAGCGTAATCATCGTCGTCGCGTTTATCTCAAGGGAGTCGAGTATTTCGCGAATCGAGACTAATAAAGGCGAAACGTCCGCTCTCACGACGCGCGATCGAGTGCATGTCGGCGCGGTTCCTCCTCGTGGAGAGCCCACGGGAGCACAAGAGTATCTTCGGGTCGTCGTTTGCGCCGCGAACGAACGAACGGACGAACGAAGGCGCGCGCTACCACGCACTCCCCGAATTTCGTATATTAGTGTCCAGGTATGTGAGCGCCATCCCCCCCTCCTGCACCTTTCTCTTTCTCTCCCGCTTTACCTGCCGCGGCGTACACGACGGATATTTACTCGAATGCATTCGTAGAATTTCGCCGGCGGGTGAATTTAGCGGAACATCGGCAGAAGAAACATCGTTTCCACAGCACGTAAATGACTGGTATAATAACGGTAATACACGTCGGGCATTATCTGCACGCGCTCGCATTTTTGCGGGCAGACAGGTTCCTCCGGTCTCCCGCGATTCCTCCGAGCTACGGCGGCGGCGGCGGCGGCGGCGGCGGCGGCGGCGGCGGCGGTGGCGGTGGCGGCGCGGTTACGGCGCGCGGTTGCGTTTCGCCGCAGCCACGCGATGACCCGCGCTTTTTCAGGCCGGCCGAAGTATCGAGTCATCGCCGTGAGACGGAAGACGATACTAATCTCGACGTGCTTATCAAACCGATACAAGCCGAAGTGATTTCAATGAGGTCTCATTGTGCCCGGCGTTCGCACGCGCGCGCGCGCGGCCAATCGCGCGTCCGCGAATCGCATTCTGGCGTGATGCAGGCGCATCAAAGGTGTACTGTTACTCGCCGAGGTGCAACGGACTCGCCGCTATTAGTACGGTAATATCGCGCGGAGAGAGGTCTTGACATTATTGTCATTATTGAGCATCGCGGGGATGCTTCTAAGCGGAAGAATACGGCTTTGCATTCCGAGCGCGCGCGTGCGCTCGTGCTTCGAAAGTATTTCTCTTCTTCATCTCGCTTAATCGCGTCGCGAGCGTCATCGAATCTCATCGACTCTCCGAGAGGGACGTACGCGTCCCTTATCGTGTCTTTGTCGCTTCCGTTGGAACGGGAACCGCTCGTAACGAGCTGGCTGAGGGCACTCGCGAGCGCGCGCGCGCGTTTCTCGTTTTCCCGCTCCGCTGCCGCGCGCGCGCGCGCGACTTAACCGCGTGATTATAATTCCATGATAATCGATGCACTTTCCCTCCGTCGCTCGAAAAGGCACAGCCGGCCAGCGTTGGCGATTGATATTGAGACACAGGCTCGCGCTCGCGCGCGATCCGTCGTGCCTGATTTCGTCACCGGCACGGCGCGCATTCTGTTTCTCTTATTAATCGCAAACGATATCCCGCATGGCATGACATGATTGAGCGAGTTGTGTTGATCATGCACCTGTCCGCCGGAGCACGCCGGAGTTGTATCATTATCCACTATGATATACGCAACAACAACGAGGTCTGTCGCTCGAATCCGCCGCTTCCATTCGACGCATTCCGCAACGAGGCGGTTATACCCGGTGCGCCGGGCTTTCCAGGACTACCATCATTGTTTGTATCATCCGGCAACGATTCCTCATCTGCCCGCGCTCGCACGAAGCTCTCGATTATAGCCTCCGATTATAGCCTCACTATTGAGTCACTATTTTCAGTCACGATCTTTCGCGTTGTTTCAGTGAGTTTCAGCGAGTTATCGAGCTTATCAGTGAGAATCGACGTCACGTCAATTCGTACATGGAGGGTAGTTCTGGGACACCCGGTACGCACTCACGGTCCTGCGATAATTTATAATGCGAGCATAATTATATTACGCGCCTCCTACACGGGCGCGGTTCACAGCCGCGGAGAATCACTCACCTTCGACTGATCCTGCTGCTGCAGCAGTTGCTCCCTGATGAGTTGCAGTTGCAGGATCATCTCCGACAGTCGACGCTCCTTCTCGGCGAAGCTCTCGGCGCAGAGGACCCTGTGAAGGGCCGCCACGCCGTCCTGCTGTACCTGCTGCGCCTCCGTGTTTGATAACCTTCCGGCACCCGGCGGCGAGAGAGCCACGTTATTTGCTACGGTGGTCGTGCCTCCGCTGTAACACACACGATTCAATTACGGTCAATTTCGTCCGCTCAAACAAAGAAGAAGAAAGCGGCGGAGAGAGACAGAGAGAGAGAGAGAGAGAGAGAGAGAGATTTATCACGACCCAAAAGCCGAGCAATTCCTCCAACCGTTTCGCGAGCACGACCGTGAGACGAGAGATTGAGTGAAACGAGGTGTGATGTTTTCAACGATATAACAAATGACATATTAATATGAAAATTCTCCCGATAACTGACAAGTAAATGATTCATCAATAATTCAGTGCGAACGTCTAGAGTTGTTCTCAATCGGGAAAAAAGAAGAGTCACACGCGCGCACATACACACATACACATACGGAAATGTTGCTGGGATGTCAAGAAAAAAAAAAGAGAGCCTCCAGTGCATTAGGATAGAGCCGGATGGTAGTGGTCGCGTACGCGATGCTGGAAGCCAGGTGAATAATAGATGGGTCGCGACCGCGCAATCACGACGGAGCGAGTGTTTGCGTCCGTGATGGGGTGCCCCGCGCTATCATTCCCCCCTCCGTGTCCCCGGCCGGATTCCAGCCCTCGAGCGGCAGCCTCGAGCTCGCGCGCCTTTATGTCGGAGAAAATGGACCGCGAATAAGTGATACAGGCCTATTGTGGCGCGCTTAGGAGGCCGCTTGGACCAAGCCCGCGCGAGCGAGAATGACGAGAGCCAACGACGAGTTGACGATGACGGCCACGACGACGACGGCGACGGCGACGGCGACGGCGACGGCGACGGCGACGACGACGACGACGACGACGACGACGACGACGACGACGACGACGACGACGACGACGACGTCGACGACGACGACGACGACGACGACGACGACGACGACGACGACGACGACGACGACGTCGACGACGACGACGACGACGACGACGACGACGACGACGACGACGACGACGACGACGACGACGACGACGACGACGAGGAGAGGCTGGCGCGAAATATAGGCCACCGCCTTGTCCAGCGGGCTTCGGTCATGGTACCTCGTTGGCGTTACGAGGTCGACGATTAAAGTCACATTACGTTAGTGACACGCTGCGGGGAGCGCTCAACGTGCAATGCGCGAATAATTCGCTTTACCGAATCTCGCCTGCTGAACATTTTCGGATCTCCGGAACGGCCGTTGGAGCTGCTGTTCTCCAACGAGGAGCTAGGAATAACGTTCCCCTGTCGGTGATGTAATATCGTATCATTTCGCATGAATATTACAAGCTTTTCTGAGCTGAGCTGAGCTGAGCTTCGTCGATGAAACGTTGATCCCGTCGTGGCAAAGAAATCGATATATCAAACGTAAAATGAAACATTTATCCAGATTTATTCTCGAGAAGCAGACGCTCCGCCGCTCAAGCCAGACGTGACGTTGTGACGTTGAATATTTCCCGAGCGTTTAAGTCGATCCCGCTCGGCAGTCGGCGAGAGCGCATCCGGCCCCGCGAAAGGATTTAATTGTACACGCGATAATGACGATATGAGACCCGGCGACGGGTCTCGTTCGCGCTCGCCGGCTTGAAAAATAAGAAGAACCACCCGCGCCGTCCGTTATTATTATCGCACGCTAAGACACTCGAAGGGCTTAATTTCATGCGCGAGCCAAGATAAATGCCCGGCCTCTCTCGTCTCCTTTGTGCTACTCCTCGGGCGCGCACGCGGGCTAACGGGCGCGGGAATGTGTGATAAATTGACGGCACATGGATCGCGCGCGGATCGAGTCAATAAGAATGAAGAAGAAGAAGAAGAAGAAGAAGAAGAAGAAGAAGAAGAAGAAGAAGAAGAAGGAGAAGAAGAAGAAGAAGAAGAAGAAGAAGAAGAAGAGATGCGTTCGCGCACCGGCGAAGCAACACCGGCCGAAGCCGGCTCTCGCGATCTTCGCGGAGGATCTGCACGCGGCATATCTCGCGAGCGACGTTATTTGGAGTTATGCGCATATTACCGCCCTTCTAAATTCTCACTTGCGGAATATCGAATATCGATCGAATAGCGATGCGTGTAACCTGAGACTTCGCATCGGCAGCGGCAGCGGCAGCGGCGCGATGAAAACAACGTCTGCCGATGAAAATTGCCGTCTCGCAATCATTAATCCCAGCAACATTGAGAATACGAGGAACGGCTCTCTCTCTCTCTCTCTCTCTCTCGCATTATCGGAGCGCTATCGTCGGTCTATAGTGACGACGCTCGCTCCACACCGGCTTTTTATCCAATAGCAAAGGCTATATTTAGAGTCGCTGCGAGAGAGCTAATGTACATGCCCGATATTTTCGTCCACCCTATAACTCTACACTCGCTGGTCACTCATATCTCCAAATGCTCGTGCGTGCTCATAATACGATATTCGCGCGCGCGATACACACGTCAGTGGCGCAGCGGATACGACGCGCGGATCCGAGACGCTTTATATAACAATGTTGTCGCAGCTATTTGTGCGTCTGCCGTTTGTGGTGCAAATCCGTGCAAAGCCGTCCCGTGCGATCGCGCGCGCGCGCGGCACGCCGGACTCTTAACCTTTGACCATCATCGCGGTGCCTCGCGTCTGCCCGCGAGTGAAACCGAGAGCTAATAAACCGTTAATAACCCGCTCCTCCCGCAGCTCGCCGACGAAAATAGATTGGAAGGATTATCCCGGAAGCGCGCATCGAACGCGCCCTCGGCGTAATCGCGCATCGCGCGACAACAATGACGCCCGGAGCACAGAGTGTGTATTTTTAAATCGAATGTTATTTCGATACACACGAAGTCGAGTTGAACGGGCTCCAAAAAGAAGGTGAACGTCAACCGTAAGTGCAAGTTGTACTGTTGGCTGAATTTTTGGAAGAATTTTGGCCCGTCGTCTGCTCGGTGTGGGCAGCAAACTGGCACACACTTCTGTGCTACCGCTTCTGCACGCGCTGCCAAGTTCACTCGTTCGCTTTCAATGACTTCACTACAACGCGAGACCGCGTTCCATATTACCCAGCTCGCGGGAAGCGAGCCACCGTGGCTCTCGTTCCATTGTCCCGCGCGCGTTCGTTTTCTGTTTTCCTTTCCGCAGGATTTCATCGGACGTCATTCCTGTCGCGTAGCCACGACTACAAACCACATGTGATTGCGAGAAAAAGAGGCGCGCAAAAAATAGGAAACGGTAGACATAGGGACGTGGCCATTTCGCAAATGATATGCATATAAACGTCCGATTAAATCAGGTTTTTTTGTCGCTTCGATTATTTCATACATACAATCAAAAACGATCGCGCCGAGTGTGATGTAAAATAGAAACGAGAGACTATAATTTTATTATAACACCGGCGATATTATTTTGCCATCGATAATGACGGATAAGACTCGCAATTAGCCGTTGTTATTCTCTCGACTTCTCGTGCGTGTGATTCACCGAAGTGGCAAAAACAAAATTTCCACATCCGCCGATATAATAAAATTAATTCACCGATGATCTCGATTATTTAGAATAATTACTATAACGCAAATCAATAATAATAAATAATAATTTTTATTGCGATACGGAATGTGTATATCTGCCTGTGTGGTAATTTTTTCTCGACGGAAGGTATCAAGCTATCGCGCTATGCTTCGTGCATATTGCGCTATTTTCAGACTGCCAAACATGTTTTCACATGTTTTATGCTCGACAATAATTATCCAACGATATTTATACGCGCAGGCGTTCCGCCCGCCGCTTTTTGCCCTTGTATCATTGGTCATTGTCAACTCAATGTACGGCAATAGAGATTAGTCTCAAGAGACTAGCCCGACCTCTTACAATCCCGAGACAATAGTGCCTTTTAGGCACTATCGTCCGATCGTTAGTGATATGTTACCGTCTCCGAGATACCAGGCGCAGCCTTGAGAATGTTGGAGCAAAAAGCGCACAGTGGCCTCTTCTTTCAGGAAACAAAATTACAGCCGCCGTCTTAATATCCGGTGATAACGTCCGACGATGAAAAACACGAAGTAACACATCGTACAAGCTGTGTCCGACAAACAGCAGTGATCTCTGAGACTGAGAAGAAGGAACTTTGAGGAGAGGGAGGAGAAGTTTCTTCCGAAAACTTCGATCCTCCCCGTCCCCCGTGAAATTGTTGCCGGCACATCCCGTCTTCTGTGTCGTAGCTTTCAACGAAACGAGACATTTTTACTTCAATCTACTTCCGACCGGAGTCGCATCGACCGACGTTTCGCCATGCTCCGTAACGTCGTTGAAAAACAGCATCGAGGAACAGGCCCGCACTGACTTGTACGGTCAATTTTACCACGAGCGATTTGATCGCTCTAATCGTAACACGTCTGTTTGCTCAGTCAATAAAGAACGATTCGCTGCAGTGTTTGCATTCCGCTTCTCTCTCATTATGAGAAACCGGGATCAAATTCGAATAAGTATTTGCTCAGGCATCTGCTCCGACTGTGTAGTTATTATCAATCAAGGAGCGAGAGCAAAAATCACTGCCGTCTGTAACACCGCGGAATGTAAAGCCGCATATCCGTCTCTGATTTGCTATTATAATATATTAATCAGTTATGTAAAGAGGGAGCGATGCGAGATAACCTCGGCGACATGGTGGCGCATTATGAGGCAGATATTGCAACAGTATAGTGCACTGTTACAATGTCCATCGGAAATTGTATCGAATCATTAACTTGGCATACATAAGTTGCATAAGAAACGCTTATCTGCACGCGTCGCATTGATTAAACTAATTGTTATGGACGAGCTGCGGGGACGACTAGCTAAATCGGAAGGAGCTCTCTCTCTCTCTCTCTCTCTCTCTCTCTCTCTCTCTCTCTCTCTCTCTCTCTCCCTCTCTCTCCCTCTCTCTCTCTCTCTCCCTCTCTCTCTCTCTCTCTCTCTCTCTCTCTTTCAAAGGCGAGCGCTGTTCTCGTTTCCTATCGTTCTGCGAATGACTACGCGTTAACAACAACTAGATCGGGAATTAAACGACGGAGAACCGCGAATCTTTTAAAATAACGAGTGAAAAAGCTGACGTGATGAGAAAGCACGTCGAGTCACGACCGGTTGAAATAAGTCACCGAAGACAAAAGCGACCGTCACGTTTATCGCAAGAGACGTACAATTGCGTGCGAATGTTTCTTTTTTAATTAATGTACACATCTACCTAATTATTTCTTTCAATTATTTCCTTTTTTCTTTTTACATATTTCGCGCATATCGAACGAGGAAAAAGAGAAACACGTCGCTCTCGTAGGGAAGCTTGTTGCCGGACTCCCGCCGTCTCTCGAAATTCATTCTCATTCTATGTGATATCACCTGGACTAACCTATGCGCATTGTGGCCAGTCGGCGTGGAAGAGAGCGGCGGTGACGTCCGCCTGGTGTTGGTGGTGTCATCCTGGATGGACAGGGACTCGCTGTTCATCTTGCAGGTTAGCCTTTTGAGAACGTCGTCCATAGATCTCTTGCTGCCGGTGGTGGCGGTGCCACTGCCGTTATTGTTGTTGTTGTTGTTGTTGTTGTTGTTGTTGTTTTGCGTGACGGTGTTGTTGTTGTTGTTGTGGTGCGGGTGATGGGGATAGTAAGGGTCGACGGAGAGGAGGGTAGGCGGCGAGCCGCACTCCGAGGAACTCGCCGGTTCCAGTACACCGCCCGACGACGAAGACGTGTTCGTGTTCGTGTGGTGATGGTGATGGTGGTGGTGGTGGTGATGGTGATGATGGGGGTGGTAAGGCGGGAGGGTCTCCTGGTTCGACAGGAACAGCAACCTCTGCCGCTTGATCGTCCGCAGGGAATTCAACGAGGGCGATGGCGAGTCACGTAGATCCGGCTCGCTGGTAGTCGCCGGCGATGAACAGCCGGACGACTCGCACTCGCCGCCTCTCTGATGGGAGTAGCACTCCTCGATGTCGACCGGGGTGGCGGCACCCTCCTCACCCACGGTTGCCTCGCCACCGGAACCGGCTACCGGCGAGGTCGTATCCTCCTCCTCCTCGTTGGCGCCTGCCACTGTACCCGCACCGCCCCCGCCCTCCGATAGCTTCGTTGGTGGCGACTTCCTCTTTGAGGACATCCTCAGTCTGCAACACAAGCGTAACGAGAGACAGCTGAGTTGTTTTGTCTTTCTTTCCCTTTTCTGTTTGTTTTTTGTTGTTTCGTTTCGTTTTCGGTTTGCGTCGCGTATGCGCGCCTTTGCTCGACTCGGCGAGGGGCGGGGGGGGGGGTGTTTACACGACCATGGGGGGAGGGGGCATGGGCCGAGGAGGATCGCCCCGATGCTGAGAGGAGCCGTTCTCGGTCTTGCGATACGTGTCTGCGGTGTTTGCTGATAATAGAGCCGAGACACATACAGCTCTTTAATCACGACGTGCGAATTTATCTAGAACGCCGAAACTCGTTTTTACAGAGCAGCCGCTCGTTCGTGTTGTTTACAGTGTATGGTTTTCGTATGCGATCTACGTGCCGCTCGCCGCCACGTTAAAGGCCACACCATGATGCAGCACAGAGGGTTAAGTCTCAGCGTCCGCAGGTGGAAGGCCGTGCGAGGTCATCATCGATAAAACGACGTCGCTTCTTACGTCGCCTCAGATGTCCCCGGCGGGCGCGACGTCTAAACTATCTGCCATCTGGCACGGGGTTAATTTAGACTAGCGGACTAACTCAACTTCGTCCATCCATTTCCGTCTACAAATTACCAAATCTAAATCCAAATCCGACCATCGACCGATCGGTCTCGTCTGCCGCGGCGGCGGCGGCGTCGTCAACACCGGCGGCCGCCGCGTCGGGCCGAGAAACGAATATTACGTAACCGGGCGTGAGACGCAATGATGAGACGCAATTATCGAACGGGAGTTATTGTTGAGCTCACTCGCGTGTCGCAACGAACTTTTCATTAATCGTGCGAGATTCCATTAATCGACTGACCGAGAACGCGCGGGCAGAGAGGGAGGGAGGCAGGGTGCCGGGGAGGATGTGCCGCGATGAGAGAGGCGGTGGAAGAAAGGGGGAGAGAGAGAGAGAGAGAGAGAGAGAGAGAGGAAGAGAGAAAGAAAGAGAGAGAGAGAGAGAGAGAGAGAGAGAGAGAGAGTTACGTTAGCCGATTATCTTCCGCCGGCGAATGCGAGCGAGGTTGCGAGGTCAGGAACAAGCGGCTCGTGGTTTCTTTAATCGACACTCAATGAAGAGAGGCGCGAGAACCTTAGTCGCGTTCCAGGCGACGAGGTGTTGATCCCGATCACGGTGTCACGGGAAAGTTTTCCTGTTTCCCCCGCGAAGGTAATTCAGTCGAGAGACGGCGAAAGAAAAATTAACAGCGACACTGTGCTGTTTGTGAGGCGCGCCGATTTCTCGAAGTTTCTTCTCTCTCGTTTCCGATATCGCGCTTTTTCCTCATCGGCCAAGTAACACGCGACACATATGCATGTATGCAAATACATGTGTGTGTGTATGTGCGCGCGCGCGTGTGTCGGACGAATACAAGATCCGCATTAATTTCTTCCGTAGCACAAAACCGTTCGTTTTATCCAACGGCGCGTCGATGATTTCTCTTGTTAGCATTACGCGGCCGACCTACATTTTGGAGCTCTGATTGATGCGCAGACGCGAAGTGCAGCGCGCATAATACGTCAGCGTTAATGACTTTTAGACGTAAACGACGTTTTCGAGTCGACGGAGGGAACACGCTTTCGCTTTATATGTCGCTTTGCCCTCAAAATTGTCCTCCGCGATGCGTATAATTACAGGCGGAGATTTATTGCTGCGCGTTACGCGGACATTTGTTACACACATAATGGAGTCACATAATGGAGAGCGATTTACGACGCTGAGAATGGCGCATGCATCTTCATCTCGGGACACCAAAAGACGATGTACATCGCGAACTTATGAAATATATAATGACATCACGGCCATCATCGGCTATCACTCTAGAGTATATATCGCGTGAGGATAAAGATAATATTTATATAGTGCGTTGCGTAAAGGTCGCTCGAGATCTACGCTATTCTCTCACACGATATACGAACCGATCGAGAGAGAGAGAGAGAGAGAGAGAGAGAGAGAGAGAGAGAGAGAGAGAGAGATCGATTGTGATCCTTCGAGAAGCGCTCGCGATACCAAACTCTTCTCCGCAGCAAAATCTATACAGAGTCACGCGACAGTTCAGCCGCAGCCGGCTAAACTTGTAACGATCAAACTCAAACATCGCGAGCAAAAACATTCCTGTCCGGCGATATTAATATACTTATCGAGAGACGAGATATAAGCGGATTCGGAACGAAGTCGTGTCGCTGGACCGAGCGAAGGCACGAAGCCGGCTCTCGTTGCCGCGAGTGAATTTGCGACAATATTTGCAAAGATAAAGAGAGACGCGTTGCGTAAGAGCGCGATCTCCCGGCGCGATGTAGATGGACCGATGCGAGTCGCTTCAGTATAATATGTTCTAAATTAACGTCCTCTCGCTGCGAGATTAATATCTTCTCCAACAATACGAGCCTCCCCCTCCCCCCGCCCTCCGCAATTATATCCGGACTACTGCTTCCGTTCCGTCTCGCACGCGCCGCGATGGATGCACCATCGGCCGGAATTACCGCGTCGCAGTGTTCTCTCTCGCGCTCGATACGTAGGATTATCGCGAACGCATTATGCAAAGTGCACAAAAGTGCACCGCGCGCCGATGCGACAGACGGTATTGCGTCGCGCGAACGCATATTACATTGTACGACGATATTGGATAATGGCAGCAGCGTCGCGCACACCAGCGAACTTTTTGCGCGCTGCAATGTGTGTGCGCACACGTGACCGCCGCGCCGCGACCCGCGAGAATCGCGGCGAGCATCGCGGCGCTCGCCCGAGACCATTTGGAGAACGATCGGAACGCGAATAGCACGTTTCAGCGCGGCGCGGGAAGGACTGGTCGGGAGGACTAGTCGTTGACGATTAGGTCTTCCATCGCTCGTCGCGTGACCCCGCGGGTGCGACAAAGCCGGGGAAGGAAGGATTTTTTTTCTTTGCTGTGCTCGCTTTTGATACGCCGTTGTTCCTGGGCAAACGTAATTTTCCAGTCGCCGGTCGCATTAACGCGTTCAATAATGGGCCGCCGAATTTGCGGAATATAAATACAAATCTCTCAAAGAATTCTCAGGTCTCCGAATTTTTCGACACCCTATTTTTATGAAGGAGAAGGGGAAATGGGTAATTTTGAAACTCCGCGCGATCTCCCTGCGGAATATAAGTACAAAAATTTCAAAGGACTCTCAGAATATGATACATCGATGAGAAAGATCTCGTAACGATTCTTTTCCCAACAGCAACATTTTTCGGCGGCCGAGTTTATGAAAAAGGGGAGGAGGATAATTTCAAGAATTCTCAATCTCTCCAGATAAATACAAAACTCTCAAAGGACTCTCAGAATATGATATATCTTTGAGCAAGATCTTGTAACGATCCTTTTCCTAACGCTAACATTTATCAACAGGCAAAGCTATGAAGAAAGCTATGAGGCAAAGGATAATTTTATAAATTCACAATCTCGCCGGAATATAAATATAGAACTCTCAAAGGACTGTCGAAATATTATATATCAATAAGAAAGATTTCATAACGATTCTTTCTTCAACAGTACAACAGTTCAACATTTTTTCAGCATCTAAGTTTGTAAAGGAAAAGGAGGAAAAAGGTAATTTCGAAAATTTCCAATCTCTCTCGAATATAAATACAAAACTCTCAAAAGACTCTTGGAATGATACATTTTTAAGCAAGATCTTGCGACGATTCTTTTCCCAACACTAACATTTTTCAATACCCCGAATTATGCAAAAAGGTGGGTAGAAGGAAATTTCGAAAATTCGCAATCTTCTCTGAATATAAATATAAAAATTTCGAAGGACTCTCAGAATATGATACATCTTTAAGCAAAATCTTGTAACGATTCTTTTCCTAACGCTAACATTTTTCAGTACCCCAAATTATGCAGAAAAATAGATAGAGAGGATAATTTTGAAAACTCGCAATCTCTCTTGAATATAAATATAAAACTCTCAAAGGACTCTCAGAATATGATACATCTTTAAATAAGATCTGGTAACGATTCCTTTCCTAATGCTAACATTTTTCAATACCTCAAATTCTACAAAAAAAAGTGGATAGAGAGGATAATTTTGAGAATTCGCAATCTCCCCGGAATATAAATACAAAACTCTCAAAGGACTCCTCAGAATATGATGTATCTTTGTTGAGCAAGATCTTGTAACAATTTTTTTGCTAACGCTACCCATTTTTTCAATAGCCAAAGCGATGCAGAAAAGTAGACAGAGGGAAATTCGAAAATTCGCAATCTCCCCGAATTGGAACCGGAGAGCGGCAGCTCTCGCGAGGATCATTATGACGGGAATGTGACGGCGTGACAAGTGCACACGGCAGATAGCAATCTCATAAGTCACGATTGTCGGTCGTGGCGATCATCAGTCAATGTGCGCGGGCCTCCGGCGATTGGACGGCGAGAGATTTTGCTGACAGAGTCCGTTGCTCTTGCCACTTGCACCTCTCGCACCGTGCGTAGTACTCGGTCTATCGCGTCGCTCTTCTATTTCTATTGTCTACGTGTTGACATTGTGCGCGTCTACGCACGCACGCACGCACGCACGCACGCACGCACGCACGCACTCACACACACACACACATACATGCACGCACGACTCGCGCGCTCCGGTCCTCTCGCGTACACGCGCAAACGTTCGCCGTTCTCTCTCTCTCCCTTTCTCCGTCCTCTCTCTCTCTCTCTCTCTCTCTCTCTCTTCTCTCTCTCTCTCTCTCTCTCTCTCTCTCTCTCGGTATGTGAAGTATTTCTGTCCCTAGACTTCCCTCCCGGCATAATTACTTCGCGAAGCGCACAGATTCGCGAGAGTATAGCCTTTCGCCTCGTCGTCTCTCTCTCTCTCTCTCTCTCTCTCCCGAGAACGTCGAACAAAAAGCGCGCGCCGACACGTCCGCGGAAGAAATATTTTTAACCGCCAGATGCCATCTCCTCGTGTCCGGCCGACTGAAATCACAGACGAGGATAGCGAGAGATCATCAACGCGCT